CACACACACACACACACACACACACACACACACACACATCTCCCCGCCCCCCTCTCCACCGCTCTAGAAGAACACGTGAAGCCACCAGCTTTTCAAGAGCAGAGAAAAACATCCTTTAGAAGGCAAGTGAACGTTCATTCCAAGGCTCTGGGTTTTAAGCAGACTGGGGATTTTGATAGGGCCTCTCTTAGCACTTACGGCAAAAATAAACAAGCCACAGAAGGAGGCTCAACCAGCCACCGGACCCTCCAATACCAGCTGCCTGCATGCCCCGGTGGGTCTGAGGGTCTTCCTCAGTGAGTGGTGTGAAGGACTTGCTCTTTAGTGCAAGTTCAGGCTGCTGACCTTGAATATCCAGTGACCTTGATAAGCAAAAATTAAGAGTACTTCTCTTCCCTAGTCATGCATCTTTAAGTGTGTGACCCAGCTTAGAATTCGTGCCACGTTGCGCTTGAGTCTGACAGATGTTCTGTGTCTGGAATAATTAAATGCAGGGGTTACCTAATGAATATTTAGAAATCAATGTTCAACTAGAAATGCTAGCTCCACTATGTTGAAAAAATGGATTTTCCCACCTCGCTGTACAATTGCCATGGTCCTTCCTTTGCTAGGTTTTTAAACATAAAAGATCCATCATGTTGCTGTTCCCATAGCAACAGTCTCACCAATTCATCCCATCAAGGCAACCATTGTGTGTGTGTGTGTGTAACCTTGTCCCTTTAGAACTAAAATCCCATCTCTTTTGGAAAAACACTCCTAGAATTTTAATAGAAAACCACATTAACTAGGTAACCCCGCATACAATATGGGTTGCGGCTCTCTCTTGTGATAAACACACTGTTGGTCACTGGTGGCAGGCCTGTTATCTTTGGGTCCCTCTGTAAGTCTACGCTTGTGGCCCTGCCATCCTTCACATGGACTCCGTCCCCAGGATGCCTGCTGCGTCCAGGAGGCTGTGTCCAACGGCTTCATCACCATCGTTTTCTATCGCCCAGCTTCAAGTTCAATTACTCAAGAAGCATGGGCACTTCCCTTGTTCTAAGTTCTGTGCACCAGTGGGCACTGCCAGTGGCTTATCCTGCATGGTTCTGTACTGCACCCGTCATGGGGCCCCTGCATTTAGGCTTCTGTAGTGGATTCCATCACGGCAGGAGGCCCCACTTTAGGGTCCTGGTGAAGGAGCTTCTCAGACAGCCGAGGACCCAAGTTCAAATTCTCCCTGGAAATCAGTGTCATGCTTTAGAATTCTCTTAAGGCGTTGCACTCTGGGGGCTTGGCTGTCTTCTCTAGTCCATTCTAACCAGCAGAACATCACATCATTGCCATGCCCTCTCTGTAAAGTGGGAGGGATCTATCGGTCAGGGTAAGGCGGCACCTCTCGGGTTCCCCATAAGCCACCACCTCTGTGAGCAGGAACTGCGGATGAGCTATCAGCTGGGAAGAGAGGAAATCTACCACTGTGAAGCGGACAAGCCCACAACTCCCAGAATCTCATTCCTGCAAATTCTTCACTAATGAAGGCAGTCTCATCTTTGTGGGCGGGCTTTGGAACAGTCTGGCTGATCCCAGGAAGCTGGGGGAGAAGGGGCAGTACTGGGGGGGCGCTGCGATGAGCCCTAGTCATTATACACATGCACAGTCCCACCCCACCCCAACCCCTTCCAAAGACACTGGACAACGAGACACCCTTTGCTCAACCTCTCGGCGAAACCAGGCCACCACTTACGATCAGAGAGCTGAACTGCTCTCCATTGGAGTCCGGGGGGATCTGAAGGCGTCTGCTCAGCTCTTCCGACAGCTCCTGGGGGCTCGTCCGGGACACGGGGGAGGCTGGTGGGGGTGGCAGGGCCAGGCTGAGCGAGTCCCCTGCGAGATTCACTTCTTCTGAGATGGTCTCCCAAGGCTTTCAAGGAACGAGACACCGCGGTCAATTCTAGAACCTAGGGATCCTCCCTGGTGCTTGCTCCCCCCCGCCCCCCCCAACTAAAAAAATCCGTAAGAATAATCACCATTGCAACGCTATCATGACCATTTACAGAGCACACGCAATCTTCAACAAGAATTTGAGGACACTAGGACTACTAGCCCCCGATGTGCAGATGGGGAGACTGAGGCCCAGGGCACAAACTGCCTGCCGTAGCAGAGCCGGTAAGTGGCAGGGCTGGGCTTGAACTATGGAAGCATGATCCTGAAGGCTGTGGTGGGAGCAACCCTTTTATAATCCCATCTCTCTCTGAGCAGTGACTCATCTCTAGAGCTAGTGACTGTCTGCAACCCTCAGGATCTTGGAGAAGGCTTGAGGGCGTGGTGGGTTGTGCAATTGACTGATCGCTGCGAGGTCAGGAGTTGGAACTCAATGGCTGGTCAGAGTGGGAAGGATGAGGCTTTCTGCTCCTATAAAGATTTACAACCTCGGAAGCTCGCACGGGAAGTTCTGCCCCATCATATCGGGTTGCTCCGATGCAGACCCGACTTGATAGACGGCAGGGAGTTCAGCAGCATCAATCAGGGTGCTAGACGGTCCCTCAGTTAATATTTGCGTGCATTCAGTAGACACTGATGCAGATATGAATCACCTACAGGAACGTACAAGGGATCTGCACGGGTTTTTCTGTGACTCGATTAAACATGCTGGGAGCCATCATTAAACACTGGTGTAGAGTATGAGTCTCAGAACCTCCCAGGGCAGACCTGCCTGTTCTGTAGGGTCGCTAAGAGTCGATGATGACTGGGTGGCAGCCTGGTTGGTTTTGGTGCCCAAACTTTGGGTGGATTTATTGTGGAGTCATTATTTGTGTTTTCCATGTTTGAGGACTGGAATGTTCTGTGGAAGGTCACCTTCCTGACACAGGGGACTCCCAGACTACCTGGACGAGCTGGGGAAGCAGCTGGGACCTGCTGGCCATGGCCACTTTGCAGCTTAACCCACGGGAAGGGTACAATTGCAAACTCTGAATTTTCTTGATCATGAATTTCTTCCACGATGTCACAACCCCACAGTTAAAACTAGTTAGAGCAGTCAGTTGTTCAACTAGACTCCACATGCTGCCCCACAGGAGGTATGGCTACCCAGGGGAGGGATATAAAGTGGAGCTATCTTAGGATTTCTATAGAGTCTAGGCGGAACACAGTGTTGTCCCCTTTTATAATGAGAAACACAGCAGGTACTTGTCCAGCACGGTTATTTGTAACCAAAAAGCACGCTTACTGCCAGCAAGTCGATTCTGATGGATAGCAGCCCCACAAGGGGGCGTAGAACTGTCCCTGTGGGTTTCTGAGACTGTAACTCTTTACGGGAGTAGAGCGCCTCATCTTTCTTCCCAGGGAGCACCTGGTGGTTTTGAACTGCTGACTGTGCATAACCCATTACAAGGCGTCAGGGCCCCTTGGCTCCTGCAAGCCCTCTCCAAATGAATTAACCTCCAGATGGAAGTGAATTAGCTGTAGGAGCTTGCTCTTTTCTTTCCGGGTGGGGGTTACTGGGAGAACAAATAAGATGACATCAACTAGGGAGCCTTTGAAGCAGCCCTACCTCAGGGGTGTCCCCACTCTCGCTGGGCTCGGGCTCCAAGTCCTCACTGATGTGCCTGCGGGAGCGGAAGCGCCGATGGGCGGCCTCCTGGTTGATCTGCCGGATGTTGTTGTCAGACTCGGAAGAGACGTCCCTGGGAAGCACGGAGAAGAGACAGTGAGAGGGGCCTCCAACAGCAGTGGACTCTCACCAAGTTCCTTATAGCAACCAACTGCCTGTGAGGCCACTCCGCTGCACAGGCTTTCAATGGCTGTCCCCCCACCCCCCTGAATAAAGTAGCCCACCAGGACTTCCTAATAAGGCATTCCTGCGTGGCTGTGTCCCTCTCACCTGCCATTAGCAGCCAGGTGTGCTGGCTCTCCGCACCAGCCAGGGACACCCTGTGAAACCCACATGCACTAAAATCCTGGGCTCTTTCGGGTCTCAGCCAACATTGGCAACTGTCCTGTTATCAATGATAAGAATGCTCCCACCGGATTTGGCTGTTCTAGGTGCATGTTGACCAAACAACAGCACTTTTACCAAAAGCACCAGTCCACATGGAATTCAGGACAGATAAACCCCCAGGAACAGTAGTGGGAGTGGCGATACCATGAGGGTAGGGGGACGGTCAGGGAGGGGGAAGGGGGAGAAAGGGGGAACCCATCACAAGGTTGGATATATAGCCCCTCATCCCCCCCGCAAAGGGGGACTAATAACGGAAATGTGGGTGAAGGGAGACAGCAGACAGTGTAAGATATGAAATAATGATGACACTATATAATTGATCAAGGATTTACGAGGGGGGGGGGGGGAAGAGGAGCTTCTACCAAGGGCTCAAGTAGAAATGTTTTAGAAAGGATGATGGCAACAGATGTACAAATAGGCTTGATACAACTGATGTATGGAATGCTATAAGAGCTGTAAGAACTCCCAATAAAATGATTTAAAAAAAGATACAGACACACAAACTAATAAAGAAGATATAAACCTTAAAATAATAATATTAAAAAAAGCACCAGTCACAGTATCTGGGCCTCTTTCACGCACAAGGCAGGCCCTTGGAGGTGAGAGGGAAGCCCCCACGCCGGTGAGTCAACTGCGGCTCCTTGGTGGTCTAGAAAGGAGGCTGCCGCCTCTGGTCGATTAACCATTGGTCCACACTCAGAGCTCCACACCCAATAGGAATGCTTCCAACAACTGTGGGTTTCACGCTGATCACATCCCACAACTACACACGTGCATGTCTCGCAGCTACCTTCACAAACACAGAAACAACAGGTGGTCCCACTTCCTTAGAGAACATAGTCACCGCCTATTGTATGTTTTTGTCATCAAAAAAGGTTTTCACTCAGGATCTGAAAACATCCGTTCCACTCTGGAAGCTTTTTTTGGGGAATAAATTTCAGGCCGCCTTCCTGTGGGGGCACTACTGGTTGGGGGCCAGTCATTTAGATTGTAAACTTTCATGGAATCTTTCCATAGGCTGCCATGGTCCATGAACGAAAGAGGTGTCACAAGGCAGCACTTCCAAATATTCCAGAGGCTCCTTATCGTAGGCACAGTGGAATCGGGTGGTTTTCATCAGAATTGACAGATGCACAATTTTATGAGTCTTCGATGAACTGCTGGCACCCCATGAGGAGTCTGCAGGCCCCCAGCCACTGACTGCTGCCGGCAGCCACAAAGAAACTCTTGGCCCTTGATGGCCCATTTTGTTTTTTTTTTAAAAATCATTTCATTGGGAGATCTTACAGCTCTGATCACAATGCATCCATCCATCCGTTGTGTCAAGCACATTTGTACAGATGTTGCCATCATCCTTTTCAAAACATTTTCTTTCTACTTGGGCCCTTGTATCAGCTCATTGCCCCACCCTTGTGCCCTCATGAACTCTTGGTAATTTATAAGTTATTATTTTTTTCATGTCTTGCACCGACCACTGTCTCCCTTCACCCACTTTTCTGTTGTCCATGGAAGGGGGTTATATATAGATCATCACAAGGAAGAGATGAGCCAGTCAGGGTGCAGTATACCACTGATGAAACATACAATTTCCCTCTAGTTTTTAATGCTTCCTCTCCCCCCACTAGCATGACCCCAATTCTATTTTAAAAAACCCAGCTAGCTAGACCAGAACATGATCACGGGTACAGGTAAGAGCTCTCAACACAGGGAATCCAGGACAGATAAACCCCTCAGGACCAATAATGAGAGTAGGGATACCATGAGGGGAAGGGGAAGATCGGGGAATAAGGGGGAACTGATCACAATGCTCGCCCATTTTATGAAACTTTGAAGGCTGGATTTTCTGGGACAAGTGGGTAGCGTGAAGGTTAATTTCTCTTCAAGCCACAGCTACATTGTAAGCCCTGATTGCTAACATTTGCACACACCATACACAAGCTTTCATACTGGCAGGAAAACGAATGTCAGGCCTATCTTATCCTTATGTTAGATGATAACACTCGATTGGGCTGAGATGAGCACGCTAAAGAGAGAGAGGTTTTTAAAGAGCACCGACAGGATCTTGCCTGGCGAGGACATCGTTCACACCAAGGCAGACAAGGGTGCTGAGGAGACCGTGACCCACGAGCCCACGGGTGTTACCACAAGTCACCTCCTAGAAGATTGGAAGAGGCTTCAGTTATTTTTACACACCGTTCGATTCTCGAGCACAAACACAGTTATAAAAAGATGCCAGGCTGTGCGCTGTGGGGCAGAAACACCTCCTGGAAGGAAAACGGCCGGGAACATTGGGGGAACTTGTGAAATACTGAGTGGTCCCCGAGAAGCCAAGGAGCCTCCCGGCACCGTCTCGGTTCTTATGAAAGATGAAACAACGTCACCTAATCATGCCGGGCCTCGTTTGACAACGTTCTCTCTACCCAAGGGCTTCCTCGGAGGCTTGCAATCCTCATTCAAAATGACCGCTATGGTTTTTGATCCAATCAACACTGAGTGTCTACAGCGTGTACTGTCTACTGAGGTGCTGTGCACACACTTGCACTGTCACGGCCCCCCGAAAGACGCAGAGGAGTGAGGATTTACCACGGCTGTGGCTGCATCTCACACCCTTCAGAAGCACATGGGGCTCCTTCTTTCTAATAGTTTAAAAGCGGGGATGTTCAAAACCACGTATGCCCATCCTGCTTCTTACCCAACAAGCCCATCAATGAGCATTTGTCACTGCCGGGGCGTGGTGACGCCCATGCTGACGGACAGCAGCCCAAAGGGGTCTCTTGGCTATCACATCTCTTAGCAAAGCCAACCACCAGGTCTTTCTTCTGGGAGCCTTGGGGTGGGGTGGGATTAGCACCTGAGTCACCACAAACCAAACCCACTGTCCTGGATGCCCAGCTGACATGATAGGACAGGGCAGAACTGTCCCTCTGGGTTTCTGAGGCTGGAGATTGTTACAGGAGCAGAAAGCCTCATCTTCTTCCCAAGGAGCAGCTGGTGGGCTTGAACTGCTGCCCAACCAGTTAGCAGCCAACATGCAAGCCCACTACACGTCACTAAGCCTCCTTCAGTAATTAACAGTCAGTGGAAGCCAGTAATGGCTACTGCCTATTGAGACGCCGACTCAAGGCTAGAATCTCGGAGGGTCGGGTGTGGGTGTTCACACAGGGATCCTCCTGCCCCCTGGAAAGACATTTAAAAACAGTCATGGGTGGGCAAGTGAAAACTGAAACATGAATTTACTGGGAGCAAGGAAATAATGGCTCTTGCAGTTGGCTTCATTCATTTCCCATAAACGTTCATTTGACCTTCCTGGGAATGCTGATGATGATTGATGGTGGGAAACCCGAATCCGTCAAGGATCCAAGCTCAGGGCCTGCCGGGCTCAGCTCCGGGCGCCATCATGCTCAGCCGTTCCCTGAGCCATCGCAGGGCCTGCGGGTTACTGCCAAGCGGGAGGCCGTGGTCAGTGTCTGGCCGATGGAGAGACCGGTCGCCATTTACAGAATGTCAGGATGCAATTTCTTCACGTGCATTTCAGTAACTTCGGTTCTACAGAATGAAGTTCCCGGTTAACATATGCTGATGAGGTCAGGAACAGTCTGAGGGCGGGCTGGGGGTGGGGGTTTAAACATCCACCTCCGGACCGAAACTGGCCACTTTCAGCTTCAGAGCGCCGAAGCTCTGGACGATTCCCTAGCCAAGTGCCTATGTCATCTGAGAAGCGGCTCATCTTTACTCCATCATTCATTTAGATAGGGTCGGCGCTAAGGGTTCAGGAGCCTTGATGGTACAGTACCTAAAGTGCTTGACTGCAAATCAGAAGTCGCTGGTGCAAACCCACTAGACTCTCTAAAGGAGAAAGATGTGGCAGTCTGCTTCTGTAAAGATTTACGGCTTTGAAAATCCTGTAGGGCAGCCCTACTCTGTCCTGTAAGTGGCTACGAGTCAGAAATGACTCGGTGTCCGTGGGCTTGGTTTGGTTCACCGGGAGTCCGCCTGTAAGAAGACATGGTCTCTGTCCAGACAGGTAACTCGAGCCCAGACCCTTTCATACAGTTCCTCATGTGTGGTGACCCCCCAACCATAACATTATTTCCATTGCTACTTCATCACTATCATTTTGCTACTGTAATCAATTAGGCGACCCCTGTGAAAGGGTCGTTTGACCCCCAAAGGGGTCGCAACCCACAGGTTGTCTAGGGTTGATGGGAGTCAGTCAAGACTGTAAATGGGGCGGGGCAGGGGCACCAGGCTGGGGGGAAGGCCCGGGTGCGGCAGTGAACAGGCTGGAATCGAGAGGCACGAGGTTGGCCTGACTCTGCGCTTACTTAGCTCAGGCAGTCACAGCCTGAGCTCCTCAGGTTCAGCCTCATCATCAAAGACGCTTCCCCGCCCGCTCCATCTTCCACCAAGAGTGGCCGTGGCCTTCTGTGAAAACTGAACTATGCAGCAATTATTTTTGAGCAAAGAGCATTCTTGAAAGTAATTTCAGGAGGTGCATGGGCTCTGGTGAAGTACAGCAAATAAAGTCAAGAACAAAAAGCCCTGGACGTCCAAGAAGCTTGGGTGGGAGGAAGCGGTTGCCATAGAAACATCTCCTCATGTGTTCCCCCCTCCCCCCGTCTGCCCCCTTCCTTTGCAGGAGCCATGCCCTCTGAACAGGGACGCCCTCCTTCCGTTCCCACCATCGTTCCCGGCTCGGTCTCAGCCTTCCACTGCTGGGGACAGTCACAGCCTGACCCTCCTCACTGCACGTGAACCTGAGCAGGGATTAAGACACACAGCTTTTCTTCCTCCTGTGGCTTCCATCCTGCTGATGAGCCAGCGTCAGCAGTTATGTCTTTTTGTTTCACTTTTGGTTCTCGGGGACAAAGACATGTAAACAAAGATCACCTGCCTCAACATTGTGTCCAGTGTCCCCCCTCCCCCCGCCAAACCCTTTTTTCCAGGAATGCCCGGCAAGTCTGAATCAGACAGTGATGATCCCTATCCAAGTGCATGCGTGAGCCCAAAGAGACCCTATGGCAGTCCGTCTGGTTCTGGTGGATCCTGTCATATGGAACCCTGGTGGTGCTGTCTGCTGAAGCAGGGAATTGGGAACCGCAAGGTCAGTGGTTCAAACCTGCCAACTGCTGCCAACTTCTTATCCCGAGAAGGATGAGGTGATCTACAGCTGTTAAATTGTACCTCAGATATATCCCCCGTATGGGGTTTGGCGTCTCATCATACAGACTTTGATCTGCATGGACGTTGATAGGAGTGAAGTTTCACATTTCCTCACACACACACTGGCTGTGCCCATTGCCCTCTCGGCTCATTTTTCTACAGAGGGTCCCCGAGGGCTCTGGATTTTGATACTCCTTTCTAGCTTGTCTGCCAGGCACCTTTGCTACCTCCAGACTTAACAAGCTGCCTCAAATCCTTTTGCATGGGAATTGAGGTTCAAGTGAGATGTTTGCTAACTCAAAAACCAGTCAACAAAACAGTGAAAGGTTCACTTAATACCCAAGGCTGGTCAGGGATTAGAATACAGCAGGGCTTCACACTAGTGCTTCCTGGTTCAGTCTCGGCTGAGGAAGTGAGCCGAGAAAGGACCTGGATTGGTTAAGATGTCCTTGCACCGGGCACTCGCTGGCCGGAACGGGGGTGGGGGGACTATAGGCAGATGTCTGGCGACGGCCTTCAATCCCCTCTTGGAAACAAAAGCAACCTGACTGGGTGTTGCATAGCAACCAAATCTCTTCTTAGGCCAGAAACCGTGGTGCCCTGCTCAGACACGACGGCCAGGCAGGCTCCCCACAGTCGGGTTCATGGAGCCTGTTCTAAACCTCCCACTCCAGGGCTTTGCCGAATCATCATTCCTATGCTGGCTACCATTCAGCTGTGCCTATATTTTTAAAAACGTGGCTGCGACCGCAATGGTTCGCACCCCTGAAATAAACAGTGATTACTAATTCTGTGTTAACAAACCTCCAACTGAGATGGTACAGGGATTTATCAAAAAGATAATTGAGTTTTGAGAGACTAACGGCACCGGGTAACCTACTGCACGAGAACCCTTTCAAGGGTTGAAAAGCAGAGACGTGGCTCGGAGGCCTCGGCTGCACCTGCTCCAAGCCATGAAGTGTCGATCGAGGTCTCCAGGGCACGTGACAGTTGGGCACTGACCACGGAAGACAGAAGAGGAACCGATGCGTGTGAACGACTGTGCTGGCAAAGTGCCACGCACGGCCAACAGAACGAGCACATCTCTCTCTCTCTCGGAAGACGTACAGACAAATGCTCCTTCGAGGCCCAAGTGGTGAGAGGCGGTCTGCAGTACTTTGGCCAGGTGGTCAGGAGAGGCCAGTCCCTGAAGAAGAATCTCATTCCCGGTCAGGTAGAGAGGCAAGAGAGGGGAAGGCCCTCGACAAGATGAGCTGACGCAGTGGCTGCAGCAATGGGCTCAAACGTAAGTCCAGTCGTGAGGATGGCGCAGGGCCGGGCGGTGTCTCGTGGTACATGAGGTCGCCATGTGTGGGAACACACGTGTGATGGCACCGACCACCACCACCAACGTAATCGAGTGATGTTGAAAAAATTAAAATCCCTTGAAGGTCAGGAAAGCAGAAAGCGGACCCAAATTTCGTGTTGCTTTCTATCCTGGACTGATTTAGGAAGAAGGCAATATCACCCCCAACCTATGGGAAATCCAGGAAGAAAAACGATCCGAACTGTGCAGAGGAAGGCTGGTTCATGCTGTCCACAGCAGAACGCAACACGAAGGCGGGGCAGCCTCCTGAGAACGGACTGACCCTGCCCGGCTCCATCCTCCTCCCGTGCACAGTGAGCTCTTGCTGACAGGAGCTGCCATTCTCCCCCTGGCCGCCACGTGGACGTGCAGACCCGGCTGATTCTGCAGCGTGTGGGCCATGTGTCCCCGAGACTGAAGGGTACTCACATTAAACTCGGCCGGTGCCACTGCGTGGTCCTGTTGTTGTGGTTGACGTAGTAAGTCCGGCCTAAATTGTCCACTTTCTCTTCCCACCCGGGGGGCAGCGGGGGCGGAGGCAGCTCCTCCTGGTGCTGGGCGGCCGGGTCGCTGGAGTCAACCACCTCCCAGCCATGCTGTGGAAAGAGTGAGGGGCGATTACAAGACAGGTGCTTGGGGTGGCTGCCAGCACACAGCTACAGTGAGTTCTGAGTCTCCCCCTCTTGCTCCTTGACACTCGGGCCCACAGGAGGTCTTCATTTGTACCCTTCACACGCAAGCTAAAATCACGTCTGATTCTCAACAGCACCCTGAGCCACCACGGCCTACTGGCTGTGCTGCCTCTTCTGGGGTGACCATAGCCCGGGGGTGGGGTGGGGGCTGTGGATGGGGGGCACACATGGCTTTGGATTGGGAGCCACGGAGTCTGCTGACTCACTTCAAACTTCACATTAGCTATGGAGTTGTGGTTGCATGTGGGGTTGCTCCCTGGAAGGCCAGCGGTTTGAACCCACCAGCAGCTCCGCCGGAGAAAGACGAGGCTCTCTGCTCGCGTCAAGAATTCTGGTCTTGGAAATGCACGGGGGCAGTTCTACCCTGTCCTATTAGGTCACTCAGCGCCAGCGTCGTTGACACGACGGCAGCGAGTTGGTCTTGGGGTTCGTTTTGACTGTGGAGGGGCCCCGGTGGCACGGTGGTTAGAATGCTCACACGCAAGCGGGGAGGCTGGTGGCACACGCTCACGGGCTGAGCCCGGTAGAGGGATGGGGCGAGTCTGCTTCTCTAGAGCTTTCAGCCTCGCAAGCCCGATGGGGAGGGCTCCAGTCTGTCCCGAGGGGTGACTGTGAGACAGGAAGGCGTTTGCTGGAACTGACTCTGATTGTACAGGGAAGCACGAACATGGCTTCGATCAGAGCTGCCACCTTTACCTCTTCCAGAGCCTGAGTGCACGCTCGGGAGACGAGTTGACCTGCCCGTGTGTGTTCTAGCACAATCACAGACACTGAAGTGACCAGGGAGGCCCCAGGCGCTGTCACCGAGGCTGGCCTCAGCAGGAGGCAAGGGGCCCACTGCATGTAAGGACGGGCCGGGCCAGGCTGGGGGGAAGCTATGCCCGGAGCCTCTCCATTCTCTTCTTGGGCCTCCACAGTTGCTGTGCAGCTACATGGATGGGCTTCATGGGACCAGGGCTGCAGCGAGGACATGGTTTTTTGAAACGCATATTTTAGGCATTAAGTCTTCCTTTCTCAATACCCTTTGGTAAAGTCGCCGGAAAACCGAATAATTCACTGGCCGCTGCAGTTGGTGGGTTAGGCAGGTGTGAGAAATGGCTTGGATGGGAGATAAAAATCTGCCGGCCAGCTTATGGAATGTGAGCCTGCTGCCCACGTCAGCCCTCTTCAAGTCTGGGGTTGGGATCAAAGTTCTCAAGTGAGACACTGCCTGGAAATGGGACTTCTCAGTCGGGGGCCAGGGTGGGGGTGGGACGGGCGGCAGTAACGTGCCTAGGATCCGTTATCCACTGTCACGTAGGCGTGACAGCTGCAGGCAGATGTGGGACCACGTCAGCGAGGGGCCCCACTGGCGGGTGTTTCAGAGCCGTGTGAGAATCTAACAAAACAGCCGTGCACGGGCTGTGCTGGGTGGGCACACAGGGACCCCTGCATTGGGAGGCGACGAGCAGGTGAAAAGTGACAGGCCTTTGCACAGCTACCTGTGAAGGGCATGCGTGTGCCCAGACGTGTATGTGTGCCTGTGGTGGTGTGGTGGTGGTTGGGGTAGGGGAGGCTTGGGAAAGGTTTTCAAGGCTCTACTATCCGCTTTGAGGCCATTCCAAGGGCACAGAGGAATTCACAAAGAGCAGGTGGTGGATTAGGTGCCAATAAAAATGTAAAAAATAAAAAAAAGAAGAAGAGGAGGCTCACAGCAGCACGAGGATTCAGTGTGTGAGGGAAGCTCACGGGGGTTGGGGGTGGGGGGTGGGGGTCCAGAGGTGGCAGCTGCTGTGGACGGCAGAGTGGCCTCTAATCATTGGGCCAACTGAGTGCTTATCTTTCTATTTTTGTAAACGAGACCTAAGAGATGGGTCGATTTGCAAAGACACACACGGGCACTGGTTAGGCTTCTCTGCATTTAAACTCCGTGAACAATCCCCTTAAGTTGTAATGACTGGTGTCTCCAGGGAGCTGCTGAGGGTGGCTGCGGGTGGGCACCCCGAGTGGGCTGGCGGCTTACCTCCATGTCGTCCCTCTGCCCACTGCCCTCCTCGTCCTGGCCTCCGTTTTTCGGCAGGTAGGCCATTTTCAACCGCAGAAATCCCTTCACCCGAGACTTGTGGCTGCGTGAAAAAAGAGAAAGGGTTATCATGGGGCCGTCATGGCTGTATCTTCCCTCTTTTTTAAAAAACTCATTTGATTGGGGGCTTAGACAACTCTTATCAGAATCCATACATCAATTGAATCAGGCGTGTTTGTACATATGTCACCCTCATTCTTTTCTGGACATTTACTTTCTATTGCACCCTTGGTATCAGTTTTTATCCACCACCCCCCCCCAACATAGTCCCCTGATGGATTGTACATTGTTATTACTTTCATCTCTCACACCGGCCGTTGTGTATCTTCCCTCTTTGGGGTGATGGTGAAGGGACATCTATCGGTGGTGGTGGCTGAGACCATCCTCGGCGAAACACACAGGACATTCAAAAATTTCTATGCGTGCCGCCCAGTGATATGGATTCTATCCTTCAAGGTATGCAGCGGACCCTCACCCCCTCCACTGTGGTGCCGCCCCGCTGAACACACACCCACTGCCCCTAGGCTCCTGTCTCAGCCATCCAGCTGCTGCCCTCAATTTGACCTTGTATAGCTCGTGCTTACAAAGGGTCGGACGGCACTTCTGTGTGTGCGAGAAGCAGTAGAATAGGAAGTTGAAATCTCCCTTGGAGAAAATGATAAAAAACAAACAAACAAAAACCTGACGTGTACAGAGACACACACACACACACACACACACACACACACACACACACACGGCTTACCTTCTTGGTCTGAGGAGAAAATCCTTAAATGTATAGGGTCTCTCCATGGTTGGATCTTCTGTCTACGGGGACAAGACGTAAATTAAGTTGCAAAATTCTGTAGAGTTCCGTGTTTTAGATCTATGTGCCCAATGGAGTTATCCAGGATGCAATCTCGTATTTGAGAACATGGTAGTTCATGGCCAAGAGTGTTTGTGGCTGCCAGCCCACGCTGGCCGGCTAGTTGAACATCCCACCAACCACGGAGCTCTGTCCACTTGGGGTCCACTAGATGGCACTCTCAACACCAGTTTCTGTTTCAACGCCAGTTGGGTGCCTGGCGCCAACCCCAGCCAGGGACAAATGACAGAATTACAGCCCTTCTCGCCAGCTGTCATTTCTAACCGCAGGGTGCAGGCCTCCACCCCACGGAGGCCACCGACTTGTGATCCCCAGGGATACTGGGGACCTGCTATCCCTGTGGCTCAAGCTGCCTACAAATAGTTAACAGGAAACATTTCAAGAACTCATCTTTCAAGGCAATTTTTATTTATTTTTAACATCTCCGTCAGGGAGACTGTCCCCGGTGGCAGCACCATACAGCCCCCCGCCCCCCTGCCAGTGCCTCATTCATGATGGAGGAGTGCACGCAACCTGTGGTTTTCTTCACGCTGGCGGGACCCGGTCTTTGTCTGACTGTGTGAAGCTGGTCAAGCCAGGCAGCCAATTGGAAACCTGGTGTTGTCCGGCGCCGTTGAGCCGGTTCCAACTCACAGCGACCCTGTGCTCCACAGAAGGAATGCTGCCCGGTCCTGGGCCAAGCTCACAATCGGCCTCACGTTTGAGTCCACAGGTACAGCCACTGCCTCAGCCCACCTTGTGGTGGCTCTTCCTCTTTCTCCCTTTCGGTCATGGTTGATCATGGTTATGTGCAAAATACTTCCAATACCTACACCCTTCCATTAAAGTTTTTAACTATGTACATCTGCGCCAAGACAGACAGACTGTAGCACGTTGGCATGTCTGTAGATCGCGTGTATGCTCACGTTTGTATTTGAAGTTAACCTGTTGGTGCCATTTCCTGCTTTAAAATCCCCCTGGCTTCCTCTGGCTCCCAGGGTGGAATGCAGGCTCTCTTTCAGAGCCTACCAGATAGATCAACCAGGATCTGGTCTGACTGCCTCCAACCTCACTGGGAACCCTCTCTCCGCTGGCTCCTGACACGCTAGCCATCCTGGGCTTTATCCATCCTACCCCCGAGGGCACTTTGTATTATGCCTTAGGCCCAATGCACCAGCTGTCCCCTCTACCGGGTGGGTAAGGAGGCCTGGTAGCATCATGGTTAAGCACTTGGCACCGTGAGGTCGGTGGTACGAACCCCCCAGCAGCTCGTAGGAGCAAAGGCTTGTTGATCGGCACCTGTCAAGGTAATAGCGGAGGAAGCACTACGGTCCCTAGGAGTCTGATTCACGGACATACCAGCAGCAACAAACTATACTGATCAACTGAGTTACATTCAAGGCCAAACAATACCTGCAGCCTGGACGTGACTCTAGGAAAATAGAAATCCTACACCCATTCACGGCTGCAGCAAATACCCCTTGACGAAGCTCAGCCACATGAACAGAGGACACTAGAGAAACCAGTGCTGCTTCTCCCAGACCCCTCTGTATCAGTGCAGCCCCTTCTTGCTGTCACAAGTGTGTGTGTGTTTGTGTGTAGGGGGGGAGGGGGACTGTTTGTCTCTCAGTAGTATAAATTAAACTGGGAGTATAATAGTTACAGCTACATCTTGGTGCCTCAACTCAAAAGAAAAACAAGTATTGTATACAGGGCCCACAGAGTGTTACTGATTGGGCTGCTAACTGCAAGGTCAGCAGTTTGAACCCACCAGCTGTTCCTTGGGTGGAAGATGAGGCTGTTCGCCCTGGGAAAGACTGAGAGACTTGGAAACCCTAAATCAGTGGTTCTCAACCTTCCTAATGCCGTGACCTTTCAATACAGTTCCTCATGTGGTGGTGACCCCAACCACAAAATTATCTTCGTTGCTACTTCCTAACTGTCATTTTGCTACTGTTATGAATCATCATGTAATTATCTGACAGGCAGGATGTATTTTCATTGTTACAAATTGAACATCATTAAAGCCTACTGATTAATCACAAAACAATATGTTATTATACATTGTGAAATATTTATTTCTAATGACAAATGAATTTTGTCTTGAAGCATGGAGTAGCAGGGGTAACAGTCTCCAGGCCGGGTACTCATCTATGGGTGTATCTGCATGTGGGCAGACCCGCCTGCAGATGGATAGAGGAGTGGTGTCTCGGTTCCTAAGACCATTGGACATATGTGTTTTTTGATGGTCTTAGGCAACCCCTGTGGAAAGGGTCGTTTGGCCCCCCAAAGGGGTCACAACCAGCAGGTTGAGAAATGCTGCTCTAAATAGACAGCCGTTCTATTGTCCTCTCGGGTCGGCAGTGGGTTGGTCATAGGATAGTATGTGTGCCTCCACTTGTCTCTAGCGTCTCACCTGGCTGTGCTCTCCTAAGTAACCTGGCTGCCATCACCGTTGTAGGTAACACTGCTTGGTGGGCTACGTGGGATGGCAGAGATGGAGGGAACTTTCTCTGCAGGGGTGGGAACCGTCCAGCACTCAAGCCAGGTAAGGCCCACGGAATCATCAACACCTCACCACAGAGAAGCAGTTCTAACCCTCACCTTTGGGGTGAGTTCATGAAGGATTTGACCAGGATGGCCTGCAAACGCTGCTAGAAATCCCCCGGTGGCCCTTGGCAGGAAACACACGTTCCCTTCCCCTCTCAACAGGAACCAGCTCGTTACACAGGTGGGGAAACCAGCGCCCAGGAAGGAACATGACCTGGAAGAAGGTGACCCAGCACCAGGCACCTCCTCCACCCCCGCCAGCAGAGCTCCAGCACAGAGCAGGTTGGCTCCAGAAGGTGTGAGACTGAAAATCTCTATGGATGGATGCACATGGCCACAGCTGGTGGGTTTGAAGTCCCCTCCTGGTGCTTATTAGTGGCCCAACGCTCCCCCCACTGCACCACTGGCTCCTGACCTCCCAGACAACGTGGCCAACAATCCCGTGCACCCTCCATCCCACCCGCTGACCCCTCCGATGACGTGGAAGGATGTAGGTTCTCGCTTTCCTACTACTTGACATTCTCTAACTTGCCTAAGGGGTCAGGTTCACACAGATTGGTGGAGAAAGAGGAAAGACAGGGGGGCCTGTGGAATGGAGGCCCCTACTCCTCCAAATTCCTGGAGTCCCATTTCCTGTCTGTTTTTCCCTCCCCTACGGGAAAAAACAACTGGGAGGGATGCATCTGAGGGGCAAGAGCCGAGGCGAATCAGCACTGTCAAAGGCCCTCCCCTCTGAGAACTCCCAGACTGCAGCCGAGAGAGCAGGACTCCGTTCTCTCTCATGGCCGGCTGTGCCTCTCTACTGCTGCTGTGATCAGTGCAGGGCCGGCCGGGGCCTTCCTCACCCCTGTCCTCTGTAACTGGGGTAGTGATGTCCTCAGGACCAGAATGCAGGCCGACTTCAAACGTGCTCCTGCCCCCACCTCTCCGTTCCAAGTTGCCACTCTTTCCTCTGGCTCCCTGGTCCCCTTACAACTTGGAACCTCAGCGTGATGGCCCCCAAGGCCCAGCAGGGCCAGGAATGGATCCAAGTGCCCAGGATCTGGCAGTGGGCTGAGGAGGGGCCAGAGTCACAAAGGCTGAGTGCCTCTCGCCACGGGATCCAGGCCCAGGGGAGGCCCCCAAGAGGTGGGGATGCTCGGACCTCTCACTTCTTTCTGGCCGGGGGATTTAGAGCTGCCAATGAGGGACAGCTTAGGACAGCCATCCTAGGAATGTAAAATCGAGGGTTTACACTGTACCAGCAGGCCTCTGGAATTCCAGCCAACGAAACCAAACCAAACCCACCACAGTAGCCTTGCCTCTGACTCACATTTGATGCTACAGGGCAGAGCAGAGCTGCCTCTAGGGTTTCCAAGGCTGTAAAATCTTTACAGAAGCAGACTGCCTCGGCTTTCCCTCGTGGAGCAGCTGGTGAGTTTGAACTGCTGGTCTCTCTGGGAGCGGAGTGCTCTACCCACTGCATGCACGTTAACACCAGCCTTCCTGATAATATCAGTGAGGGATGGCTATCGAGCAACATCAGTGAAGGTCTACAGTATTCTCTCTCCATCTCTGTCTCTCTGTCTCTCTCTCTCACACACACACACCCCTACGTCACAAAATAGGGTATTTCCATTAAGAATAATTCCATAGGACACTCCTCTAGATCCGAGGCCTTGAATCCACACTATCAAGTCTGGTTATTCTCCATGTCTCTATTCTGGGAAATAGGAGAATAAGTAAAAAAGTCAGGCCTGGAATTCATAATTGCTGTACCTCCACAGAGACCCGATTATGGAGATGTGTTTTCTGGAAAAAACAGTAATTTGGTTGCTTCTAGAGAAGGAAACTCCAGGAAACCCGAGGTTCAAAGGGGCTGAGTGTGCTACTGGAAGGAGGGACAGGCAGACCCTGGCAGTGGTTTAGAAACGAGCTTCCCTGTGCTGATCTCGGTAGGCCATGATCAGGTGAGATTCGCACAGCACACGCACACAAACACACAGGGGGGTGGGGTGGGGGAGGGGCTCCAAAAGCTGGCGAGAAACAGAATGAAAAGCTAACAGAAGTGCTCCACCAGTTTTTTGAGGCCCCTTTGCACATGGCCCCCACCTATCCATTACCAGCGAGTCAATTCCAACTCACAGCAAACACACACACACACACACACACCCCAAACAAACAAACAAGGCATCTTAAGAAAACAAGATAAAGTGACGGCCCTGGCTCACAATGTCCTTTAATCCAAAAGCACATCTACAAGGTCAAGGTGGAGGCAGAGGCAATCTCTGCTTATCTCAAGTAACTATTCCTGGTACCCCACACAGGCAGGGGAAGCAGCAGCAATTTTGGGGGTGGGGGGGAGGTGCCCCCATCAAATGGAAAGTCAACCAGGTCGAGGCTACTGGGTCTGGGAAGGCATCCCCCTGAGAGGCCAGCCCACACCTGGGGCAAGAAGATGAGTAAAGGGCGCTGGCCTGGTCCTCACAGCCACTTGCACGTGTGGCTAATAACTAGTAACATTTTGATGAACCGACATTGGGTCCCAAAGGCCTTTCCCTTAGTGGGAGAGTCACATGCCATGAGCTCCACTGTCACACGCAGCTGTCCGACTGGACAGTGTTATGCTCCGTGAGGGAGGGACACTTGGTTGGCTGTGTCATTTCCCCACAGGGACAACTCCCCCGCCCCCCAAGAGCACCTCAAATCCTGGGTCCCTAGGCCTTGCCCAGTCAGAAGCAGCTGGCTGGGCTCTCCCACCAGCATGGCCGCTGATGGGGCTCCCTCGCCCCTCTCTGGCTGCCTTTGCAGTCTGCTCTAGGAGGCTCCTCAGTTTTTGCCCCAGCAGTCCCTGTAAGGAAATCTCCGGGCATATGCAAAACCGGGAGGGCCTCCCCTGGGCCTCGCTGGCTCCGCTCCTGTCAAGCCCTGGGCCCTCACTCGGCATTCACGCCCCGTTCTCTCTCATCTGCTGGTTTCTATTCCAGCCCTGAGCCCTGGCGCCACTCAATTATGAAAGCTTAGCCTTGTCTCTGTCCAAAGTCCATGGCTGAATGATTCCCTCGGCCTCTGGGTCTCAGAACAGGAACTGTCTGTGACTGGCTGGGAGCCCTGCTCAGCCTTCCCAAAGCATCTCCATCAGGCCTGCCCAGTCTCTCCAACAACAGGCCTGCTGGCACAAGTGCCTCTTGAGGGGGTAGGAATCAGTCTTTGGCCTTGGCTCTCACTGCCCATTGGGTCAATTCCTACTCACAGCGACTGTATAATGGCAGGATAGAACTGACCGTGGGTTTCTGAGACTGTAACTCTTTATGGAAGAAGACAGGCCCATCTTTTACCCACGGAACTGCTGGGGATTCCAAACTACTGACCTAACAGTTAGCAGCCCAAGATGTGGTTTTTAGGTTGGAGAAATAGGGGATTGGGGGCGGAGAGCCTATTAAAGAACAGGCCAATCAACCATTTCTGAAAATGTACAGGATGATGGGGACTTATGGAGGTCCCAGTCCCAACTGAAGGGTAAGCACAGACGGACGGACTTCTGTGGACTTAACGGAACATCTTTCTTTGGGAATGTTGAGTCCTTCCCATGCGAAGTTCAAAGCATCACCAGGCTTCTTTCTCGTGGCTTAGGGGGTGGGACGCAGGTAAGAAGTGCCGCGCAGCCCCCTCCTCCCCAAAAAGGCACCATGGAGCCTCAGGCTTTTATACAGAAACAAACAACAAAATATTTTAATATCCTTTTAGCTTCAAATCTTTTGGAAGACAACACGCTTGACACCTTCCGTGCTTAAACAGCTCCCTGAGGAAATGGGAGGAAATTGCTCCCCCTCAAATCCCTTCACAACATCTCTTCAGCGCTTCCCTGCTAAGAGACAGTCCTCCTTGGCATTGAACACAGGAAGAGAGCCCACGTTTCCAGGCAGAACTAGAGGCACACGGTGACCTATGTCATCCTGGTGCCTGACCTCAGTGGGCCACTTGCTCAACATGGGGCACTGGGGGAAAAAAATCCACCCCAGAATGCTCCTGGCAAGGGAGACACATTTGACGTATCTACGTGCTTAGCAGCTCTGTGATCCATGCCACTTTGTGCAGCCTGGGAGGAAGAGCTAGAACAGTCCAGAAAACTGGAGCTGCAATACAAGATGATCTCCCCCCCAACCCCAACTGGTGCTGTCCACACCTTCTATCTAAAATACCCCTGGGGCACGCAGCAGTAGGCACCCAGAACTTCAGAGACAGTCAACAATCCCTCCCGTTCTGCACCTCGTCCTAGCCGAGAGCAGTGGTGTTAAGCCCAAGCCCACACAGGCTAACTGAGGGCATTTTCGGGAGCCCGGGGGTGGTAGTGGGGGTGGGGGTGGGGCGCTGCCTCCAGCTGACAGCTTCCATTGAGCAGGGGAGCACCCTTTGTCTCTGCCCCAGCCCCAGCTCTGGCTTGCGTCTATAGCCAGCTCCCGGGAGAGCAGCATGTGCGCGTCTAGACAGCGGGAACAAATGTCTGAAGAGCCCCAGAGGATGGATTTAGAAGCAGAGACATGACAGTGACGAGACAAAGGGCTCCGCTAGACGGAGAGGCTGCCACAAAGGTAGGCAGAAAGAGGAGCGGGGGATGGGTGCGCTGACAGAAAGGCAGAGAGGATTCAGGCACAGCGGCCTCGGTTTCTCACCACTCAGCTAGCCCTTGCACCCCACCGAAAGCTCAGAGAGCCTGTGATCCAATCACTCTCCGCCACTGCAGGTCAGAGAAAGGCCACTCTGAACAGCCACCCACAAACCGGTCCTTACCGGGAGATGGCTCAGGGGCACGTCCACTTGTCCCAGGAAGTCGTCTCTTGTCTGTTAAAGGAGAAAGCAAAGAGTTAATTTCCCCACCCGTTCACCTAGCATGGCATTGCTGAAACACGCTGCATGTTTCATTTGCGCAGGGAGGCAAAGGTCCACAGGTGAACCCTGGTCCTCGGTGGGGTGGAAGGCGGGAGGAGGCAGACTGCGGATGGTCAGCCGCTGAGATCAGTGAGCCTGAGAGCGCCCGAGCTGGGTGTCGGCTGTCTACTACCAAACAGAATGTTGGCGAATCATCCCTCGGAGCTGGGGACAGTGCCACCCGTCAGGGGAGGGATGCTCATCGTATGGGGGGCGGGAGGGATTGGAACCAGTCTAAAGAAATGTTAGGAGCATTTTAACAGATATGTATTGATGAACTGCCATAAACCCAAGAGCTCGCTGGGACTCCAGTGAAAGAGTACTCAGCCTGCCGCTACTGGTGTTCAGTGACATGAGTCCCTTCTGACTTGCAGCGACCCCGTGGGCCCACCACAGAACGAAAACACTGCCCGGTCCTGCGCCACGCTCACAATTACTCTCATGCTTGAGTCCACCTTTGCAGCCACCGTGGACTCAAGGGCCTTCCTCCTCTCCTCTGCCTCACGATGTTACCAAGCATGACGTCCTTCTGCAGGGACTGGTCTCTCCCGACAACGTGTCCAAAGTACAGGAGACCAAGTCTCGCCATCCTTTCTGGCTGTACCTCTTCTGAAGCAGATGTTTGCTCTTTGGGCCATCGTGGTGCTTTCAAAATCCTTCTCTAACCCCCTAATTCAAATGCATCCACTGTACTTGGTCTTCCTTATTCAACATACAACTTGCACATGCACATGAAGTGGTTGAAAATACAGGGGCTTGGGTCAGGAGCATCGTAGTCCTCACAGTAACATCCTTGATTTTCAACACTGTAAAGAGGTCTCATGCAGCAGATTTACCTAATGCCACGTGTTGTTTGATATCCTGACGGCTGCTTCCATGAGCACTGACTGTGGATCCAAGCAAGACAAGTCCTCGACGACGTCAACTTGTTATCACGTTACCCATTCGTCCAGGTGTGAGGCTCTCGGTCTTCTTGGCATTGCGGTGTCCTCCACACTGAAGGCTGCAGTCCTTGACCTCTATCGGCGAGAGCTTCAAGTCCTCCTCACTTCTCAACAAGCAAGGGTGTGTCATCTGCACATCGCAGGTTGTTAATAAGCGTTCCTCCTATCCTGTCGCACATTCTTCTTCATATATATCGTCCAGTTTCTCTCATCGTGTGCTTCAGCATACCGACTGAATAAGTATGGTGGGTGGATACAACCCCCATGCACACCTCATCTTGGTAGTTAATATTACATAAGAGAAAATTGCCTCCCCCCCCCCCCACTGTTCCAAACTTGTGCATGGCTTCAGAATTCTAAGTCAAGGATTAGCTACTAACGCCTGGATGCACTTGAAGAAAAAAAAGGCCGCCATGCTTACTAGGAGGTCATCCACAGCAAAGGAACCTCCATCAGATGAAGGGACATTAAAAAATGCAGATGGCGCAGGGTCAGGCCATGGATCATTTTGTGGGGTCACCCTATTTGAAAGTAGAAACTAACAACATGTTGGGACCACACAGCCGGTACCATTCTGGCTCAACTGGGATTCAAATGGAATGCAACTGAAGAAGCTCACACATGTTCCCTTTCAGACTCGCACCACAAAGATGCCATCGATGAGGTGCAGGAGTCTCTGGGAAGGACAGCACATGCCTGGTAGGCTGTGCGCACATCGCATCCTGCCTTAACATTGCCGGGCAGCCCCAGACTGTGGGATGGCCAGAGGGGCTGGAAAGTGGCTTCCAGATGAGTCTCAGAGGTGCTTGAAGACAAGCCAGAGAGAGTTCAGACGCCCGAGGCCCTGGCTTCCTATATTCACTCTTCACTGCTTTCCCCGAGAGCTGTTCTAATTTACAGGCACGACTTTGCGTGTCTGGGGTGTTGCGGGTTACTCACTGATGGTCTGCTGGGCACAGTAGTTGCCTGTTGTGCTGCTAACCTCAAGGTCAGCAGTCTGAAGCCACAAGCTGCTACATGGGAGAAAGATGAGGCTCTACTCCTATGGAGTTACAGTCTGGGGAAACTCGGAGTGGCAGTTCTACCCTGTCCTACAGGGTTGCTCTGGGTCAAAATCAACTCGATGGCAGTGGGTTTGACTTGACACACGTACCTCAAACACTCCTATTTTCTTCCATCTGAGCAGCAGCAGCAGCAGGTAAGTATGGACATGATTTAGTAACATCATTTGCACCAGAGCTAGGAATTTCCTTTCGGACAATTTTTTACTAAAAAGTTGATTAACCAGCAAGCCAGCTGTCTCCTCGAAAGGATGCATGGTGGAGAATGAAAAATTAAAGCCACACGGTTGGGCGGGCAGGAAAGTCAGGCTGGCTCCAACTCTTTGAAGGGGGACTTTCAAGTCTTTTATTTTCTCACCTACATCTGCTACCACCCAGCCTCCTGGGGCATCCTCACCTAGAACAGGGCAGGAGGGCAGTGCCCACAGATTCTGTACATCTGAACAATCGAAGCAGACAGCACTCAAGGAAACGCGGGCATCTTCACCACCCAGCTCACAAAACTGCTGCAGGCTCCGGTTCTCAGTCTGGCTGATTTAGTTCTAACTATAGAGCTAGAATATGCCACTCTTTTGACGAAGCTGAGCCTGGCCCGAGCCATGGTCCCATGTTCGTGGGACATCCAGATGGTGCATGTGGAACACAGAAGCAGTGATGCATTCAAGGGGTGGTTTCAGCAAAGAACAAACCACGGACTGTGGCCTTCCGAAGAAGGAACAAACCAGTCTCTGGGGAACGAAGGCTCCTTAGAAGCAGATGGCGAGACTTTGGTCCACTTACTGTGGACACCCTTTCAGGAAAGACCTAGAAATCTCTAGAAAAGGACATCAATTACTCGGTGAAGCAGGAGATCAGGAAAGGCCAGGGAGGTCTTGCACACTGTGGTAGTTACGTAATCTGGTGTCAATTCGAGGATTAAGAGTGAAGGGGTAGAGTCTAGCCTGTCAATCAGGATATAGCCAATGAGGCCTCTGTGTGGGCACGGCCTTCTCCTGAGCATTCTGGGAACTCCGGTATTTCCTCCTCAGAGGTGGGAGACACTCTCTCTCGGCTCACTCCCTGCGAGATCTTCCTTTGGAGAAGACACATGGAGGGAGGCTGACGGAGGCAGACCAGCCACATGGAGACCCCTGCCAGCACCGAGAGGCTTATAATGCCACTGCATCTACAAGACTTCCCACCCACTGGCCTGTGATGCATTCGGCATCACTGCATGTGTTTCGTGAGTCTGAAGAGGGCTTTACAGATTGGTATCGGACATAAGGGCTAATATCAAAGGTAAGGACTTGGCTGGGCTGGGATGTTTTCCCAATATTCAACTGCTCTTGTATATAAAGGTCTTTCACAGGAGTCTCCCTGTATTTGTTTCTCTAGTCTACCCGGACTAACATACACTCCACCAACCAATGATCGTGAAGATGATGCAAGACTGGGCCACCTTTTCTTCTCTCATACAGGAATGGGACCCAATCTGGTGGCAGCTCCCAACAGCCTGGAGCTTGTGCAAATGTCAGCAGCACCACTTGACGAATGTAATCAATGCCATTTAACTGTTTCCTGCAGACACTGCTGGACCGGCATGTGCGCTGCTTAGAATATTCATTCCCCAACAGCAGGTAAAACAGGTGGCATGGAGCTTGGTTGACTGGATGCTAAGGGGAAGTTCTGTGCCCTGCCCGTGTGTAGGGAGGCACGATGCCACCCGCCCACTCTGCCCTTCTTTCTCACCACCACCACTGCAGAGGAAAAGGATTTGAGGAGCAGACCCCCGGAGGATGGGCAGAGCACCTTCTCCAATGCTGTTTCCTCACCTGCTACCTGTGGAAGGTGGCTCAGAGAGCATGGACCTCAGGGCATTTTCACAAAGAGTCATGGAGCAGCTGTGAGCCCAAGTTGTTTTGCGAGAGAGCTGTCTGACCTCCCAACCAATAAAATGGGCTCATCTTTGCCCAACTCAACCAGGATCTGCCACAACAGCTAGTGGAGGCCACCCGTCCACCAGGCTCACTGTGCCAGCCCTGCTCCTGAAGGCCGCACCCAATTCCCACAGTTGCCCACTTCCGACCAGTGCACAAGGATGCTACCCAGCTTACAGATAGAGAGCCTGAGAATAGGGAGGTGGGCAGCCTGAGCAGGCTGGTCCCAGAGTCCGGGCTATTAGCGCACCTCAACCACCAGCAGAGCAGCAAGGCTGAGTCCCAACTCTGAGTTCTGCAGGGGATGCTGGCAGATGCACACGGGCGCCGGTCAGGGCACCGTTTTATGGGCTTTGGGGTTGTATTAGTCTAGGTACTTTAGAGAAACAAATCCACAGCAACCCATGTGTAAGAGAGTTTTATGCAAAGAAAGTGTGCATCACGAAAACATCCCAACCCAATGCTGCCCAAGCCCACAAGTCCAACATTAACCCATTCACCCAACACCAGTCCACAAAGTCCTCCACCTCTCTAAACAGAGGCAATGATGCCGACTGCAGGAGGAAAGCTGAGTCAGTGAACGAATAAGCATCTCAGCACTAGCAGGGGTCTCCACACGGCTGTTCCAGCACCCAGGGCTGCATCGGGATAGGTCCATGTGGCTTCTCCTTGGGGATGTCTTGCAGGAAGTCAAACTTGCAAGCTGAAGCAGGGAACTGCTAAGGCAGCTGCACCTTGGTGCGACAATCACAAAGCAAGAGACCCGAGCACTAGAAAGGCGAGGCTCACCACCCATTTATCCCTCTGCCTTTCAATTAGCCCCACATGTGATTATCGGCCAGGTTGGCACAATTAACTAACTCAGGGGTTAAAACGCACGTTAGGTACACCTGGTGGTTCCCACCACCTCCGGGTCCGCAGAGCACAAGTCAGTCAACTGCACTTTGAGTGGTTAAAAATCTGCTCCACCGTTTAAAAAGCCACATCTAAGA